GGGCTGTTTTAAATGCAAAAATCTCTCGTTATTAATTTCAGCCAAAAATCGTTTCATGCGCTTCTTGTGGGAGTCATGAATCCAGGAAAAGGTATTTTTAAACAAGCCCCGCTCTGCATGTTCACTAAAGACGCGTTGCGTGCCTATCTTATTCTAGACTTCCACCGTGACTCGGACGCTATCAAGGCCGTGTACAATGAGGTGGTTGAAGAAGGAATGGAGATGAATGCACATTTCCATGAGATGTATAATCATATTATGATCAAATATTCTGAGAGATTACCTTCCAGTGAATATAATCAAACAGCGTCAGCCACCCAGGTAAAAGATTACATTTTGTGTACTGGACCCTTTTGAGGTGCTCGTCATATCGAATTCGCAAAGGAACTTTCTGATTTCGTTTTTTCTGTCCGTTAGAAGGATCCCATGGTGGTCACACTAGTCTAACCTCGCCATGGTGGTCACACTAGTCTAACCTCGCCATGGTGGTCACACTAGTCTAACCTCGCCATGGTGGTCACACTAGTCTAACCTCGCCATGGTGGTCACTATAGTCTAACCTCGCCATGGCGGTCACACTAGTCTAACCTCGCCACGGTGGTCACACTAGTCTAACAAACATGGTGGTCTTAAAGATACAGGGCTTCAAAACTGAATTTCTCTAACGCAGATGTTTTTATCACTAGACTGAAATTGATGTGGATGACGAATCTGACTTTTCAAGTGACGAAGAAGGAGCCCATATTCAGGAGTTTGAGAGGGTAAGCAACAAATATATTAAAAGAAGGAACTCATAGATTGATGAACGCGAATAAAAACCGCTGGCTGCCTTGCGCTCAGTTTGAAGTAGCATACTTTTATTTAAGATCAGATCGTTTTGCTCATGGGTTAGGCACTTCACATCTCAATATGCCTTCGTCTAAGCAGAGGTATAAATGTGTGGCAGTGAACTATCAGGTAAACCTGAAAGAATGCAGGAGGGTAAATATTTAAATCTCAGTAACATGCCTTTGTTGTTGTTTTTAGGAAACGCCCGACTCTGAAGACTCTAATAAAGACAATGTCGAGGTAAATCTGTTTCCATAATCTCTTTATTGATTCAACCCTTTGAATCCTAAGTGTGACTACCATCTAATTTCTACTTACAATATCACCCCGTCAAAAGTAACTTTTTTAACTTCATTTTTTCAGATGAATGACCCCAAGTGATTTTGGACGAGCAATGGAATTTTCAGGATCGTCTGACCGCTAGATGCTGAAAATAGCCTTCAGCTTGCCCAAAAGTTTTGAAGACGTCCTTTGACGAGTACCTGTCTTTTTCATCGAATTTCAAAAGGTTCAGTGTTAAAAGCGGTTACTGCTAATTCTGGACTACGCAAAGAAAGTATTACTTTGAGGACTTCACTCTTACAGGACTTCGTTTTAATACACTAACTTTTGCCCTAGTTGTGTGGGAATATTTTTTTAAGCCAACACACAAATGGACACTTGTAGTATTTGCGTTTCAGAGCCCCAGTAATTAAATTATTTTGATTAAAAAGCAGAATGAACATATTGTCGTAGGGCTTGCTAGTTATCGTCTTTGCATCAAATTGAACTTTCACTACCAAGTGCTATGAAGGGGCTGTGATGCAGTAGTTACAGCGCATACGTAACGAAGTCTTTTATCAGCTGTGCGTTCAATATAAATGTTACCCCTTCTGTATTGAAAAAGCAATAAAGCGCTTTTAAATAAAGTGATAAGTGCTTCTTACATTATTTTTTGTCCACGCCAAACGCATCGGTTAATCATGGAGCTTATTAGATTAAATACCATGAAAGGAGAGGTACACACCAGAGACCTCTTTTAAACCCTCAGTCTCTTACATCAGTATGCATATTCTCCATACTGCTCGTTATACATTTCCTATGGTGCTGACAAGGAGAATTCATCTAAAAATTGACAAATTATTAAGGTGGTGATCATTTTCATTATTCTCATGACTTATGTGTCGGTGAAGCAATCAGTGATACTTTACGGAGTAACTAGATGCCAATCACAATTTTCCAAAGTCTTGTTAGGCAGTCAGTGCCATAATTCCATTCTTACATTTTAACGGCGGAGATAAAAATCATATGGTTTTAAAAGCTTACTTCTCTTAAACAAAGTTAATCAGTGAAACTGTGGCACTCACTAAAACAGATCACCAGGGAAAAAAGATAAGGAGCAGTCTTCCTGTCAAAAGGCACGCATTGAGCCTGAGGCTCACGCTAACAATTTTACTTTTCATGCCTTTAAGGTTCTGATTTGAATAGTTGATTTTGAGGTACAAACTGCTGCATTGGTTAAGTGCCTAGAGTAGTAATTGTATTTCTTGATGAAATTTGGTGTGCATATATTTTGAGCTAGAGCTTCCAGCTTTGATCGGTTGAAACTTCTCGGATGTAATTTGAATTTAATTTGGGGTGATAAATGATATGCATATCAGTTGAAATTATATTCTATTGAGCGTGAATTATAATTTCAGTCTGGGAAAATGAAGCAAAATTGAAAGAAACGACGGTAAACTACCTTGCGATTGGAGTGTATACACGTGAACACAGTGAGTCAGTAAAACAATACGCCAGAATCGTATGGGCTTTTTTTTAACTTTTTCACTTTCGGCTTTTCTTGTTTCATGATTGTCCTCCGGCTGGAAATACTCGACGTCTTTTCTGATATTTTCTGTGAGTTAATTCAGTAACCTCTACTGTAACTGCATATAATGTGGATGTCTTCAAGAAAACTTGAGATAATATCTGGATCTCATTTCTATATCACAGAAACCAATTCCAAACAACAATCAAATTTTCCCTTTAGTTGAAAAGTTGAGTTGATATTATCGGCTATATTAAAAAGTTCTAGATGATATTTTCTCATGTTTGCCATTAATTGAATATACTGGAAATTGGAGTTGTTGCAACATGTTAACATGAAACGCAACAAAAAATTTTATTGATATGTAAAAAGTTTTCATTTGACTATCTACTGGCAAGTCTTTGTATTATACTTCAACCCAACCATTTTGCACAACTTGTAAACAACATTACAAAATAATTAATCAGGGGATGGAAAATTTGTGGCATATACGCCATGTTTGAAATGCCATGTCCATAATAAGCTAACAGGATTGAGGAGGGTGTATTTGGGAATAGGCTGTCTTGTCTGTATCATTAATTGGCTAATTGTTCCTGTTAGCAATGTTTTGATGAGGTTGAGCTGTCAGGGCAAAGGAACTGAGGATTTTAGTAGGCAGTGACATTTTTCAAACATGGAAACTATCAATGTGAAAGCCCTATTAATGTGCCTGGTAACTCACTCTTATTCTGATAAACTAGTTTTAAGAAGGATACAATATTTTATAATATAAATCTGATGCATAGGCTGTGCACAAAACTTTAATTTGACTTAAATTGCATAGCCAGTACCAATCCCTACAGATAATAAACTGTTAAGAGGATCAGAGGAAAAAATAATGTGCTATACATCTGCAAGATTTCATTTAATTACTTTAATTGTATGAATATTAACTGATACTATAGCTAGGAGATCTAAGAATATTCAAAAAAGAAGAAAAATTGGTTGAAAAATTAGAATTCAGCATAGACCAGATAAACAAGATTCTTAGAAAAAGAAATTTGTGCTGATGAAAACACTGAGCAAACTTTTTTACAACACCTGCCTGTACCTTTATGGCATGTAGTAAAGTCATTTGAGTTAGTCATAATCCAGGGTTTATATGTTGAAAACACATGCAGATTTCCTCTAAACCTGTAGTTCAAGCCTGAGATGACTTTGAAATTTTGATGCAAACCTCAAAAGGAGAACAAATAAATGTCAAGTTTCTATTTATTCAATTTTATTATATGTTGGCTTGTGAGGTATAATTGAGTCAAACATTCGTACAACGACAGATTTACGAAATTTTCACAACCAATTTTAAGGTTAGCTTACGTGGAACAGTCACCTTCATGTACAAATTAGACCGAGTTTGTACAGATGATGTCCAAAGGAACTATCTGTGGTAAGAGGGCAGGCTTTCCTTTCTTCATTTAAAGAAATACTGAGGTAATATCATCTTTCCACAAGCTCCGTGGAAATTGAGAGTGAATGAGACTGATATAGTAACTATGTTATTTGGATAATTATCCAAAGGGGGATAAAAAGTAAGATATGGTCTGCACATCTCTCTTATTTTAATTTTTTGACCTATTAACTTTTGTGTTTTAATAATGTGGATGCCAATTAATTCAACTTTCATGGATCAAAATACAAAAAATGTTCTCTTCATCTACTGTATGTGCCCTTACCTTTACAGGGGAGGAAGCAGGTCAAAGTAAAAACTTGAATTAAAACGGGAGGGCCCCCATTAATTTCAGTCCTAATTAAAGGAGGATCCTTGCTTTTCCAGATTCCCACCCTTAAAACTCACATATCTTGTGACCATTTCCAGATATTAATGTTTAATTTGGGTATGGACATTGGTAAGAAACATCATGCATTAAGGAAAGCTTAAGCAAGAGTATTTAATGCAATCTAAATAATAATATTACATGTTACAATGTGGTAACTCACACATCAAAATTATATAATCACACAATTCCAAACAAAGGAAATCAGATTATTGACTCACCTAACTTCAACTTTTGAGGGTTTAAGGTACAGAGAAATAGATATGGTAAACAGTTACAATTAATACAAAGTTGAAATAATGCAAAAAGCAAGAACATAAATTCCTTAGCTTAATAGGTTAAAAAAATTGAAATAAGAGAGTTGTACACACCATATCTTACTTTTTATCCTCCTTTGGATAAAAGATTTACATTACAATCATTAGACCCTATGCATCCTAGCAAAAAAAGGTCAATTAATTACCACCATAACTTCACCCAAACGTTAAAGCTTACAGGAAATCATTAATTTTTTTACTAGGTGGCACTGTACTTAAAATACTTCTACTGACACAAATGCATTTTCTTAAGTTATCTCACAACATATGACTGTACAGGTCATGTGGAAGGTTCCTGCA